GGGGGGGGTTGTTACAATGAAGAACCAGTGAAATTAAGGTTTCAGGTGTGTTACCGTGTCATCTTCAGAGGTGTGTCTGTGTGGGTATGTGTGTGCTCCTTCACGAAGGTGCTCATTTCAGAAAACATACGTAATGCGCAGTTACACAGAGATTACACTCGTGCTTTCCCAGTGGAAGTAAGTCTCTGCTGGTCTGGATGCCATGCTGTGAGCCAGGTGACATGTAAATACCGGCCAGAGACCGCATCTGAATCCAGTGCTGAGACAGCGTTTGGTATGAAGTCATTCTTTTGCTTAATACTGTTGTTATGTTTGGGGCAGAGTAGTACAATCCATTAATTGATGTAATTGGGAAAATGTCAGCTTCTTGTTCTGATGCTATCTTGTTTCAGAACTTTATCTGTAGCCAGTAATGATGTTTGCTGTAATGTAACACTTTTCTTACAAACATGAGTTAAATCGAAGCTTTCATTGAAACCGAGTACGATGTGTGCGCAACAGGCTCTATTACCAGTTGTAAGAGCTTTAAGAAAGCTGCTAGCAGCTGTCTTCCTTTCTTCAGCTTAACTTTTGAACACATCTGAACACCGATCTTGACCCAGGGATTAAAATGGAATGTAAAGTTAAATATAATCCAGGTGAATTTTGCTGATGCCAGAAATCATTAGCTACTTCTTCGTGCCAACAAACTTAGGAGGGTACTTATGGATCATTTCGGAGTATTAAGATAAATCCAACCTAAAAGATTAAGCTGAGCAGTTTTAAGAGATTAAATCTGTCATTGTGTAACAGAAATTCACATAGGAGGGTGTCTGGAGCTAATTTTCTAGTGTTGTAATGCCACATTAAATATCAAACACCCTTGCAGAGCAGCTGGGCAACTCCAAGTTCTGCTAGTCTGATGTTCTATAGGATACTTAAAATACACAAACCGGTAAAGCATGTGACACATGCAGCACACAATTAACAATGGTAATGATAAAATCTTATTTTCGAGAGTTAATTTGTTCCTATTCTTCATAATGGGAATACCAGTATGTTTTTATCCACTGTGAACCTGGAGCCTCTCCTCTGCTCATGACACTTCAAAAAAGTATCCACAGAACAGTGTTAGAAACTACTGCAAACTGAGGAACAGAATGACGGTCTTCATGCAGTGTTTTTTCCTGAAAACTAAGTATTTTTATTTTGTGCATAGACTATGTAAAAGTATATTTTGTACAACTCGGTGGCTCCAATACCTACAGGATGGTTGCAGACCGGCATATGGCTCTGAGTTGCTGTGATCCAGCCTCTGCCCTGCATGGAGACCGATATGGCTTGAAAGTTTGGTCTGCCCAGTCCTCCTCTCTGTTTTCTGTAGGATCGAGTCCATATTAGCTTCTTTGAAAAGCAGTTGTCTACTTTCAGAGAGAGTGGGGGTTGTGACCCTTGAGAGTGTGGCGAAGTGTGGTGCTGCCTTCCAGAGCTGGACGAGATGAGCAATTAAAGAAAAGAGAATGAATGCAAAATAGAAAAGAAGTTCTGTAACACCTCCACCTTTTTGTTTCTGTTTGATGACTTGCCCATGTTTTTCAGGTCCAGGACACATCGTTTATTCTGTGTGTTGTGGTAATACAGCCAGAAATACCTGTTAAGCAGCTGAAGAATCTCAACACCGTCCCCAGCAGCAAGCTCCTGTATCACCGTCTGGATCTGCTGGGCCAGCCGAACGCCTGCCTGCACTTCAAGCAGCTGGCCACCTTAGGTGAAGCTTTCTTGCATGTTTCTCTAGAGTGTGGCAGCAGAAAGTAAAACTCTTCTCACGAAACAATGGCAATACTCCCCGCCTGAGAGGCTTTCGTTTCGGAGCCCAGTTTCCTAGTCAGCTGTTACCTTCTTGTAGCTCTCCACGGATCATGGCCACCCTGCGCAATGGCGAGCGCGATGGTGAACGCAGCGGGGCTGCTCGTCAGAGTACGAGATGAACGAGCTGCGAGTCTTGCTCGGTCAGGTTCCCAGAAAGTGGAGTGGGGAGAGTGAGAGATGTCTCACCAAGCTTAAACAATGTTCTGTTCTCTTGGCTGTAAAGCAGCTTGTTGACAAATAACACAAGTAGAATGAAGTCCTGGCCAGCACGCAAACTACTTCTTGACTTTGGATTTATGCAAGTTTTTCACTGCCGTTAGCATTTAATGCCATTGATCGTGTGAAGTCAGAGGTTCTGTCTGTTGGGGGAAACTGAGAACTCCGCACTGGGATGGTTTCCAGACCCTCCTTACCTGCTTGAAAATTTTCAGGTTACTGAGACGTTCCTGCTGTTGATAAGCTAAATGGATTCTGCTCTACCTGACCAACCTCAGTGGTTGCTCAAACATTACTTGCACCTGAAACATGATACATTACCTGATTAAGGATCAGTTATTTGATCCTAAAAACCTACACGGGAAATTTAAAGAGTCTGGCTGCTATCTAACTGTATTTAAAAATCTTACAAAAAGTTTACAAAAAGCGTCCAGGCGGGGCTGGAATATCTCCAGAGAAGGAGACTCCACAGCCTCCCTGGGCAGCCTGGGCCAGGGCTCCATCACCCTCAGAGGGAAGAAGTTCTTCCTCGTGTTCAGCTGGAGCTTCAGTGCTTCAGTTTGTGCTCGTTGCCCCTTGTCCTGTCGCTGGGCACCACTGGAAAGAGTTTGGCCCCGTCCTCCTGACACCCACCCGTAAGATATTTATAAGCATTTATAAATACATTACTGGAAAGAGGGAGAATCTCCATGGCAGTATAAGTTCTAGTGTCTGGAAAGGATAGAAAACATAAAAAACATAATATATCCTAAGAACATAGAGGGGTTTTTATATAAGCATCCCAAGTTGCAAGCTTTCATCTTTAAGTATTAATCTCAGGGGTTTTGCTGAAATCTGTGCTGTGTTATAAGAAGTTCTGGATGAAGTGCTTTTGTTTGTAGCGAGGTTGGAAGGTCTCATGGTGGATTAGCGGCACAGCTGTGGTGTTTTCTTAGCTATATTGCAGTGCCACAAATAGCGAAGTGAGATTAGACTGGAGGGGTTATGGAGGAACCTGACAAACCTGTGGAAATTGCTTTGCCAGTTGTTTAAAATACAGGAGGTTTTCTTCCTGTAATGTGGTGCCTAGCATTGATTATCTTATATCCAGAAAGACAAGATAGAAATGGAAAATATCCAGAAAACTCAGTACGAAGCTGACAAGTGGAAAAACTTCACGCAAAGCAAAATGCAGTCACATCAGAATATTTGGTCTGGGAAGCAGATGAAGGACTAGGGTAGAAGTTCGTGAGCGATGGCTGCAGTACAGATGGCTGCTGGATGTATAGGGATGTGTTTGAGAGGAATGTGAAGAAAAGCAGAACGCTGAAATTTTTCCTCTGGAGACCATTAGAGACAGGGAAATCGGGTTCCAAGGGTCACATATTCAGAAACGGCGTTCTTCTCCACCTTCAGCCCTGCATCATCTTCATCATCGTTTTTCTTTTTAAAAAGAAAAAGCTGTCTGGGATTACATTTTGTGCACAATATAAGTTTACTTTCTAGTCTGTTCTGAAAATCCCGCCAAACAGCCACACTTTTATTGGTAGGCTCCCTCTTCTGCGCTTGTAATTCTCCATTTATTCATTGTCTGGAACTGAAAGTGCTCGTTTTCATTTTCCTCTGCCCTGTCTAACCTAATCGTGGATAATTAATTTCTCCTTCATTACCACAAAATCTTTTATTAAGGGAAAACAGCTTCTGTAATCTTTCAGAAAGTAGTAAGTCAGCAATTGTTTAGACTTTGAGAACAAAGGCACTGAAGTCTACCAGAGAACACGTGGAGCTCAGAGTCACTGGACTAACTTTGCGCCTTCACTGTGTTGAAGCAAGGAGGGCAGCTGATGTGCCACATCAGTTTTGTCAGGGCCTGGGGGGAGGCAAGCTGTGCTGGTAGGCTCTCTGGTTTGGGTGGAAAGCTTCACGTTCCGTGCCCTCTCACCATCTACTCGTGACCTGAAGGAGCTGTGCGCTTTGCTTACTGAAGCCTGGGAGAGCAGAGGAACAGGCAGGCAATACCCTTCTGCGGTACAAATGTCCTTCTGATGCAATATGTCCAATTCCTTGTCCTTAACTTTCCCGTATTTGGCTGTTTTTAGAAAGCCCTACGGTCATGCTGTCTGCGGGCAGCTTCTCTTCTCCGTACGAACACCTCAGCCAGCCCGAGACGAAGCGGATGGTGGAGCATTACACCGCGTACCTCAGCGACAACACGCGCCTGATTGCCAATCCTGGCCTGAAGGTACGTCCCAGGCGCTGAGCGCTCCGGCCAGCCCTGGGAACCCGGCTTTCCTCCCATCCCATGCCTTCGTCCTGGAGGGGAGTGCCCAAAACGTCGATCTCCTGGTGCTCGTGGGGTTATGGAGGGGCGGTTTGGAGTGGTATTGCCATGCTTGTAGAGACAGCCATGGGCTTCGTGGCCCAGAAGAGCAGAGAGAGGAGGGAGAGGGCGTCCTCCCCAAGAGGGGGGGAAAGGCTGATAAGCAGCTGTTGAAATAAACACTAGAAAAGTTAAAGCTGAAGTAAATTCTTAGATATGTCTTTGTGTTTTTAGGCATATAAATGAGAAAGTTCTATTTTGTGCCCAAGTGGAGCAGTATTTGTATTTACGTGAAGTGAAATAGCAAACTCTAAAAGCCGCAGAGATAACAACAACAATATTTCATTATAATAAGCTTTTCCTTTGCTTGGAATGTGCCAGATCCGTCTGGTGTGAGAAGGCTTTAAACAAGTAATTGAGTTTAGATGATCTCCGATCGCTCTTTGGGAAACCCCACGAGCAGCTTATTATCTTTTCATGCAAGCCTTAGAGGAACCCTGCCAGGTCCGCCTTTGTTTTGCAGTTCTCTGTCAGAAATGAAGTAATGGCTACCAGTCACGTCACAGATGAATGGATGACACAAATGGAAATGAGCAGCCTGAACAGTTCTATTGTGCGCCGTTACATAGCAACCCCCAATGGGGTGCTCCGAATTTACCCCGGTTCCCTCATGGACAAAGCATTTGATCCCACCAGGAGACAATGGTGAGTTTTTAGGGTCCTGTTAGCAAAGCTTTGGATAATCTTAGAGGGCAATAAGGAAAAGACTTGGTGTCGATTTCATAGCCTGGGTTTTTTTCATGGCCAGCTATAAACTATTTAACTAGAAATGTTTGCATCGTGGGCAAAAGGCTCGGTGCTTGAATACTGCTAGTTAAAATCTTTCTGGGTTCCAACTTCAATCCTTCTTATTTTAAGTGATAGTTTCTGTTTCCTATCCCTGCTATGGCAGATGGGAATATAAATATTCAGAAAATGAGCATCCCCTTTAGGGATTAGCTAATTCGGGAGTGTTTTCAAATCCCCGTGCCGTTTTTGGTTGTTAGTATTTCAGTCGTGTTGTTTGTTTGTTTACAGCAGATTTCCTTGCTAATTTAGAGTGGGAATTTGCTGGCTTGACTGTGCACTATTAATTATGCACTAGCGTCGGATTTGTGAAGCATTTGTGTACATTACAAACGACCCTGAAAAAAATCATTGCCGTAGCTAGCGATGAAGCACAGCTCAAGTTTTCTTCCTTTTTGTGGTTATGTGTGGTTTTGCTGACGGAGAAGATGGTGGAATTTTTTTTGTAGTGAGATAGAGAAAGCGCATTCGTGCTGTGAATCAACGGAATGCACTTGTACAATCCCTTGTCTCCATTTTAAAAGTTCTCAAATTATTTTCATTATTGGTTTTGGGAAGGGTTTGGGTTTGTTTTTTTTTGCTTTAACACCGCACTGATTTTCTCAAACCATGATTCTCAAAAAGCCTCCATAAGCAGCGTGCCGTAGTGTGTTGTTTTTTATGTAAAGCCAAGCGGCAGTGTGCTGGAAAGCGGACGCAAGCCAAGCCCCCGTGAGGACGCAGGGCTCAGCAGGCCCTTGCACAGCGCAGCCCAGCCTCACGGGTCAGCGTACAGGGGTAGGGGAAAGCAGAGTAACAGATTTTTCATACACAGAAGTGTTTCCAACAGTTGGGATGGTTTATAAACTTTCTTAGGACAGTAGGAAGACATTTGACATGATTGTGGCTCATTTTATGTTGACAGTAAGTTTTAAAAGAACTTATAATTCGTAATCACTTTCGGACATCTTTCCAGATTTTCGTGTGTGGATTCATCCTTTCTCCTGTGTTTGCAGCATCGTAATTTTGCCAGTGTTTCCTCTGAGTTTGAGACTCCGCTGGCACCAAGTCGTACGTTGTTCTGGGGAAAGATGTTTACAATCACATTAAATGTATTCTATGCCGAAGTAAATTGAGCTTTTTTTAATGCGGTTGTATGTACTGAGGAGCTATTTCTTGAGCCAGTCTGTTTTGGGACTGAGCCCTAGTCATGCTTGGGTATTTGTTTACTATCAAGAAACATTAATTTGGTAGCACATTGTTCACAGTGTGCAGAATTCGGTGTTGTCTTAAAGTCTGCAGTAACCCTTTTTCAATAATAATGAGTGTTTCTTTTGGCTTCCCTTAGGTACTTGCACGCAGTGGCTAATCCAGGACTAATTACCTTTACCGGTCCCTACTTAGACGTTGGAGGGGCAGGCTACGTCGTTACGATCAGTCACACAGTCCATTCTTCCAGGTAACTTGTGTTGGAGGTTTGTGTTGAGCAAGATTAGCAAGATGTGCTTGGGGTAGGAGAGAAGTACGCTGGGCGACTCTGACGTGTTCAAGAACTGAAAACCAAAGCTGGTTTTAAAGCGCTTGTGATGAAATGTGATACAACCTTGTGTAGGTTCAAGGGAGACAGTACGTTGAAACACTGTGAAGAATCCGTGTTATATGAGTAGGTTTATATTCTGTAGCTTTATTGGTATACGACAGTACGTTGAAACACTGTGAAGAATCCATGTTATATGGATAGGTTTATATTCTGTAGCTTTATTGATATATGAATAATAACGGCATATAGAAAAGAGATTGATTGGTGAGAGCGTGCTCCTGGATGAACGCGAGATGATGAGGTGTCACGTATGCAAGAGAAGGACCTGGGAGGAGCGGGATCGCTGTCTTTGGGCAGTCTGGGACGTGTTCCCTCTCTGCTGGTAGTCAACCACTTTGTCATCAAGACAGCGAAGCTCTAAATTTCCTGAAGTTACCCACACTTTCCCTTCTGAAGTTGTGTGTACCAGGGTGGTGGTTGGAAGGGAGTGAGAGGGGAAAGCAGATCTGCCTGACAACAAATAGAGCTCAGGCCACAAGATGGTTTAATTACAGCTCTGTCCGTACTCTTGGAACTGGGGGAGCTCCTCGCTTGGGCTGTTTAAATTCAGTGCTTCTGGCCAGGGGCTTCCAGGAGTAAGAAGAACTTGAGGAGAAGCCTGCAAACCCTCAGCTGCCCCTGATTGCAGAAAACAAATCAATGTGGAAACAGCAGCTCTTGTCTTTGGGATCAAAGCTAAAATGAACATCATAACCATACAGGAAGAAGCCTTTTCTTTATTAGCCTTGTATGGCTTAAAAAAAGGACAGGAGAAATTCTAATGTGTCTTCACTCAAAGCTGATTGAGGGAATCTCGGTGTCTCCTTTATTCTCAGTATGGTGAATATTGCTACCCAGGGAAGTGGAGTCAGCCCCTCTGTGAACACCTTGTCAGGGCTGGACTGACCTGCTGGTCGAGGACTGGTTGTTTCTGCTCCCTCCTGGCCAGGCCCCCAGCCTAAGGCTGAAGTTTGGTTCCAGATGTGGGCTGTGTGAAGGAGATCAGCTTATAGACTAGGTACTAAACCTTTCGAGCGTAAGCTCCCCAGGTTTCGGAAATGATAGTTACTCATCTTGTTTTTTGCACGGAGTCTCTTCCAAGGCTTGCGCTGAGCATGTGGCTGCTGCACGCCCTCCGTCAGAGACCCCACCAGTACAAAGATCACTGCTAACGACCGATCACAAAGCCAGCAGAGCTCAGGACACTGCTTTTCTCCTCTTCTCAGAGACATCTCAGCTTTGTTTGGGATTTCCCACCGCAGGACATCTGCCTGTCCTTTTTGACAGGAGTATTATCAGGCCTAATGACTGCCTGGTGCTTCTCACACAGGGATTTACTAAAGGGAAATAAGCACTTTTGTATGGAGAGAAGTGCAATTCATCAAAATTCTCATTTTTATCTAGCAAGCGATGGTTCAGTTTGGTTTAAGAACTTAAAGCTCGCATGGGTTATTAGAACATGATTAAAGAACGGTTGAACAAAGTTTGGCAGATGTGAGGGTGATTCCCGGGTAAATATGACCTCTAAAGCTTATAGTCCCATGCGGCTGTAATCCCCAAAGAGGTCTTGGTTAAAAAAACCGAAGGGGCAGGGGAGGAATCAGTGGAGTTAACAGGCACACTTGTGTTAGAAACTGCTGTGTGGGTTTAAAGAACAGCCTTAGTTTATCTGGAACTGACGCCTGTCTGCCATTCTGTTTTGTGTGTATCCTCTTTCTTTTCAGGAGGCTGGGAATAGCAGATTTATGCAAGAAGTTAGTTAATACAGCTTGCATCAGCAAACTAGAAGGGTGTAATTCTTGAAAGCGAAGCTAAAGTATTTACAGCGCTCCTGACGGCTTTTTGTCTGTTAGGACGGAGCAGTAACTGCATAGCCTGATGCCTTGTCGCATGCAGTTAAATGTGTCTGCACCGCCTCACTGTCATCC